CTATGCTTTCCTTAAAAGAGCCAAGGAATAGAATAATCGATAGCAAATTTCATGCACATTGAAAAATTTTAGCATTGTTGAGAAATTATACGGTCTTTTTTACATTTCATAACTGATCATGCCAACGTTGGTGTGGCAGTAATTCAGATCACATTACCATTTCCAACACATCACTGCAGTGTTGCTCCGCATCAACCGTCAATTTCCCAATAATCTGAGCGATACTCAACTCGGCAGCAGAGTTAATCAAGTTTAAACAACAAAAAGTAAACGCACAGCTACTCTTCAGTTACTTTCGTTCTTATCAGTCTAAAATACTAGACGAAAAACTGATCTTTTTATTTCTTAACAATTATACCTTTTCTTCACTGTCTTTATCAAGAACAGATATAATAACAAATTCTTGTAAAAATAACCAACTTAATGTCCTTTCAAAATCCAGTCCACTCTTTGTCTTCCTTGTACTTTTCCTTCCGCGAGTAGTATCCATTCTTTAGTTCGTTCCACATTTCTTCCGCCTGTTCAATAGTTTCAGTTTCTTGAAAATAGATCCTCCTGTGAAGAAAACCTGACCGATTTTTTTTTATAGTGTGATGAAGCGCTTTAGACGAAAAATCTTTGAATTTTGCTCCAGCTTTCGTTGCCAACTCTCCAGTCAAAAAGTAGTCGTCAAACTAAAAAAACCTAATAAAGTTACAGTTCTACTACAGCTCTTCACTTCGCATGCTTTTTAAACAAGTCGGGTTTGCCTACGTTGCTATAAGTTGCATTTTTAAGTGCTCTAAACATATTTCCTATAAGCTGCCTGGGAATTATAGTTATCATCGCAAAACAGTAGTTCTTCATATAGTCATCGGGGAAGTCTGCTTTGCTTACATACCTTAAAAATATGTGAAGTTAATAAAGAGCTGTTCAGAGAGCAATGAGCAACCCCGAAAATGCACGATCTTTTTCAAGTTTTAAATCAGTAAAAAGCCAATAAAAAAGAAATATAAAACCTTGATACAAATATTCAACATTTCTGGCTTTCAAAAAATTTAAAATTTGATAAACGTTCAGTTACTGTGAAACTGTGCTCACAAAGCTTTACCATCTATTTTTTGGGTCACGAATAGCTTTTAAGTGGTAGAAAACGTAACAAAATATTGTACGTTCCAGTTCCTCTCTTGGTTGTTTGATACCAGAGTAAACTTCCAGAGTGTTTATCACCTCCCAAAGGTTTATTAGCACATCATCATCTGTTACGATAATGTATCTCACGTTATCGCAGTACTCTTTTACAAATCGTACCGTCATAATCGCCTAAGAAGAAACTTTTTTAGCGTCTATAAAGTTTAATAATCAACACTTCGCGAATATTGCTATCGTTTCAAATCTGACCTTTGCCACGAAAACATGGTCAGAAGCAATCTTCAGTAATCGACATTATCGACATTTTTTTTATTATTAATACACCAGAAATTCATACACAAGTTGTAAATATTACCATTAAAGTGAAAAGGCAGCGTATAAAACGCTAACGTTTATTTGTAAAATTGTAACAAATAATTTCAACTTCAATGCTTCTCATCTTTCTCACCGTAGTTGATTTCTATCTTACCTTCCAGGTTAGGTTATAGTACGTGTCAAGGAAGTCTTGTCGAATAATATCATGGTAACGCAGAGATTCGT